CTGAAGAAAATCAAGCCTGAGTGCTCACTGGAAGGACAGATCCTGAAGCTAAGGCTCCAGTACTTTGGCCATCTCATGAGAAGAGAAGACTCCCTGGAAAAGACCCTGATGTTGGGAAAGTGTGAAGGCAAGAGGAGAAGGGATGACAGAGGACGAGATGGTTGGACAGTGTCACCAAAACTACCAACATGAATTTGACCTATAGAAGGCAGTGGAAGACAGGAGGGCCTGGCGTGCTCTGGTCCATGGGGTCACGAAGAGTCGGACATGACTTAATGATTGAACAACAACAAAGAATCTGCCCCCAATAAAGTAAATTTTTGGACTCTCAGAATCATGCAAAAAGCCTGTTCAGGGAGGAGTTCCAGAGAAAGGGCTGGCCGGAGGGCGCACCATGTGTCTCTTTCCCTGGCACATGACTTAATGATTGAACAACAACAAAGAATCTGCCCCCAATAAAGTAAATTTTTGGACTCTCAGAATCATGCAAAAAGCCTGTTCAGGGAGGAGTTCCAGAGAAAGGGCTGGCCGGAGGGCGCACCATGTGTCTCTTTCCCTGGCCTTACCTTTCTTAACGACTAAACAACAACAACAAAGAAAGTGCAAAAAGCCTGTTCAGGGAGGAGTCTCAGAGAAAGGGGCTGGCCGGAGGGAGCACCACATGTCTCTTTCCCTGCTCTTACCTTTCTGCCCTGGGCAGTGGCATTCCAGTCCCAGTTGGCCTGCATGTTTCGGTACCAGTTCAGGGGGCCCCTGAAAGAGGTGCAACGAGAAAGAATTGAGTGGACCAGACCTTCTCTTGACGCCAGTGTTTGTGCCAGCGATGCGAACGGTCTGCCTTTTATTTCTATTCATTTTATCTCAAACCTTTTACCTCGCCTTTCTCCTCACAAAGGACCCAAGGCCGTTAAAAAACAACGTTTATGAGCTAAAAAGAGTAGACATACAAAATATTTAAAAATTAAGGAAGCATTTTATTAAAGATGGCAAGTCAAATCAATACCGAAAATACATTTTAAAAACAACTAAGAACAACTGCCCATTTAAGAAAACCCTCTCTCAGGCAGCTGGTCATTGAGGGAAAGCCAACATGAAGAGAACGGTCTTCTTCGCCTGCTGGCGGAAGGACAGCCAAGATGGGGGACAGGCTGGCCTCCAGTGGGAGGGAGTTCCACAGTCCAAAGGAGCAACCACAGAGAAGGCCCATCTCCAGTCGCCCCACCAAGCCTACCTGATTTTAATTCTCAGGCAGGCTCATAAAGTGAGAGACACAGTCTGTTGGGCTCAAGCTGATCAGGGCTTTCTAGGTTCGAAACAACACTTTGAGCTGGACTACCACTCCCAGAATCCCACAGCCAGCGCAGCAACCTCTGGGAGCGGTAGGCACTCCAGAAATTAAAATTAAACCTGTCTACTGTGTCCTAAAGTCCTGTTCTCCCAAGAAACATCCTTCCCTGGGGAATGGACCATAAGATGTGCACACACTGAGCCACAGGGATCCAATCCCACTGTTCCATTTGTGGGCTGTAAAATGGGAGGGTCTGCCACCTGAATTTCGGGGGGGGGCAGGGAGGGAGCTTCCTGACCGCTTCTGGCCTCCTCCTGCTTGATCTCTTGATCTGGGAAGGCTGCTACGGGACGGCAGAAGTCCCAGGAGACTTTCCTTCTCTCCAAGGGGGAAAACAAAAAGCTGCTAGAAGGGGGCACGGAGAGGACCCTCCATCCCCCACCCCACCCCCAGCCAAAATTGTGAAGAGAAGATGCTCCTCTGAGAAGCTTTTGCTCCACTCTCCAGGGCCGTCCGGCCGCTCGCTTGCGGAGTTCATCTGAGAAGAGAAGGTGATGGCAAGGAGGAAACCCAGGGAAAGAGCAGGAAACCCCGTTGCAAAGGGCCAACCAATGGACTGGCCTGCCCAGTCCATCTCTGGGTGGAGAAGACGCCTCTGGGGCCAAAGCGCACGCGGCCGAGGACCCACGGTTGAAAGCTCACTCGTGTTCTAAAGACACGGGTCAGGCAGACTTTCGAGTCTCCAAAACGAGACTTCCGAGGAAACCCAGGCTTGTCCTTACGACGCACGACAAAGCCCAGCAAGAGTGGTTGTGAACGAGAGGTGAGAAAATCTCCCGCTGTGATCATCGCACGGATCTCATCTCTTAAGGAATCTTCTCTTCTTACAAGAGGACACGCTTAGAGGCCTGCGAGAAGCCCTTTCAAGACTAGAAGCATGGCCGAGCCAACGCATATTTTTCTTTCTCTCCCTCCCCCCATTTCTCTTTCTTTCCAACCCCGTCGTCTCCAGTCTGAGGTCCCCCCCCCCGAAAGCCAAAACGTTGGGGATGAAACGTTCTGGCCTTCCATAAAGGGCTCTCTTCTGTGGCCTTCTGTCTCCAGAAGCTGCCACAAGGAGTGCCGCCTTCCACGCGTGGGCTTCCCCTCACTTTCCAACTATGGGTCCCTCCACCGCAGCTGCCGGCAGGGATGTTGGCCCGTTCGCTCATCCTTGTTTTGCAGACTGCACCCCTCTGGAGAAACGTGCACCCAACGAGCGAGGGCCATGCCACCCTCGGTTCAGAGGTTCGTGCCACGTGTTTCCTTTCCTTGTCTCCCCAGCCAAACACCCCACTCCCCCGCCAGCGTGCACACGTGCTCCTCTTCTCGTCCTCTTCAACTGTGCGTTCAACCAGACCCCAACAGGAGCACGGGGGGGGGCAGGGCGGATCCAGCCAGGGAGGCAGGAGAAGATGTGCACCACTGGCATGAACGGACATGAACCTCCAAACCGAGGTCCGTGCCCCTTTCTAGTGCCACCCTAATGCGGGTGGCAGAAATGGGTGAACTGTTCCAGGTCCTTTTGGCTTCCCCCATCGCCACCCCCACCGCCACCCTGCCTTTACCTCAATCCAGATTTCTTGAACTGCTGGACGTAATATTGAAGCACTGGCTCTGGCAGGAGAGAACTGTGGGGAGGGTCTTCGGGAAGGCCCACCAACAGCCCACCTGCAGGGCAAGAGGGAAAGAAGACCAGTCAGCAAAGCGACGCAGCTGCTCTCGCCGTTGCCAGCGAACAGCCTGATCCCCCCCCCAAAGGTCCGCCCGCAGCCATTTCCCCAGAACCGAGGCTCCTGTGTGTCCCATCAAGACGCCTCCTGTGCTTCGCGCCCTCCGCTTCCATGCGTTCGCAGGCTGTCCGTTCCGTGCTCCGTGCAAAACGTTTCCTCTCTCACTCTGAATAACTGAATAATAATTCACATGCCACAAAGGCGGAGGTGCAGAGACTGCAGGGCAAAAGAATATTGTCCTGGCACAATAAAAAACAGCATTTCAGGCTCCTTGGAGAAGACGGGAGAAGCCGTCCCGTTTTGAAGGTCAACTCTCACTACATTCTTAGCAGTATGGCCTGGCCTGGCCTGTCACCAGGTTCCAGCTTACTTTAGAGTAGGAAAAAAGAAAGACCACAAAGGCGGAGGTGCAGAGACTGCAGGGCAAAAGAATATTGTCCTGGCACAATAAAAAACAGCATTTCAGGCTCCTTGGAGAAGACGGGAGAAGCCGTCCCGTTTTGAAGGTCAACTCTCACTACATTCTTAGCAGTATGGCCTGGCCTGGCCTGTCACCAGGTTCCAGTTTACTTTGGAGTAGGAAAAAAGAAAGAGGACATGGTGGTGCTGTGTGTTAAACTGCAGAAGCCTCTGTGCTGCAAGGTCGGAAGACCAGTCGTTGGAAGATCGAATCCACGCGGCGGAGGGGGCTCCCGTCGCTTGTCCCAGCTCCTGCCAGTTTAACCACGGCACCATGAGGCTCTAGTGGTCAAAAAACCATGGGGAGGGGAAAATAGCAAAAATCCATCCATGATCCTTATGGAACACCAGAGAAGTTTCTGGGCCTCTTTTTTTTTTTTCCTTTTTTTAAAAAACCAAGGAATGTTGGGGGCATAGGGGTTGCTAAGAACCTCCAGGACTATGGGACTGCATTTAGCATCCGAGGGACTGGACTCTACCCACCCCAGTCTAAGCAGGAAATGGGAAGCGGAGGCAATGATACTGGGAAAGACACTGCAAAGGTACCGAGGGATAGAGAGAAACGACCCACAGTCCAAACCTGAATGCTACACATGGATAGTTTGACACGGAGATTCGGGGCCAAATGTCTGAACGATTTAACTGTCAAACAAACCCCGTGTTTTAACTCCTAAAACCCACCACAGAGCAAAGCAAGCTGGCTTGCCCGCTACATAAGGAGAGAAAAGCTTCAGCCTCAACCATCGCATGCTTTCAGCAGTTAAGGAAAGCCCCTCTTCCGTTTGTGTTATCTTCCCCCACGCTCTTGCGTCTGATACTGTTCTGGGTGAGCTCAAAAAGAGCTCCCCAAGCCACAAGAGACACTTGTACAGCAGACCGAGGCAAAGAGGCAGTCCCGAAACAAGCAAAACCAGGGAGCTGGACAGGGGACAGGTTGGATTTGTCTCCAGTGTGGAAGGGATTGTCACTCTTGAATTGGCCTTCTCAGCCACACAAGACACTGTTCCAAGACCTCCACACAGAGCACGATACCACAGTCTCTCAAGACTGAAGGATGCCTACACACAATGAAAAATATGGCCCAGCATTGCTCTACGCTTTTATTAACAGGCCACGCAGAGTGGCATCTGTAAGTCTCATGGCACAGCGGTTAAACTGCAGTACTGCAGTCCAAACTCTGCTCATGCCCAGGTTCACTCCCCAGGTAGCTCAAGGTGCCTCAGCCTTTCATCCTTCAGAGGTCAGTAAATCGAGTAGCCAGCTTGAGAGCAGGCGGGGAGGGACAATGTGCCAGGAACGGAGACTCGATTCGCTATCGAGTTGGACTTAATTCGCACCAGTGACTTGACTCAGACACGGGATTATTTTCAGTGATTTGGATTCAATTTGCGTTTTGGAACCCGCCCGCCCTTCCCTTTTTTTCCTAGGGAAAAAGGCTGTTTTTAAATCGGGACTCAGATTTGGTACCAAAGAATTAGAATTAGGACGAGATGACAAAAACTTGGGACTCAGAAAAACATCTGTGCAATGCTTCATCGCCCTAATTTAAACCATAAACCACCCGGAGAGCGCTTTAAGTGCTGTGGGGTGGTATATCCTGTAAGCCACAGGCTTTGCTTTTTGCTTTCACTTCCTTTTTTATTTCTTAAAAATATATATATAACTGCTCCCCTCCTTCTGTGGGTTCCTTACCTCGAGCTCTCACACTGGAGACGTCCAGCGAAGCTCCCTCTATCCGATCCTGTAAGGAAAGCCTTCTGAGTGACTTGGTCAGGATTCACAATTAGACCCAGATGAAGAGGGAAGTGGACCACAGAGCCACATGGCCTCCATCCACCAAGGCCAGTGACCAGCTGGCCACGGCGTGCTGGTTGCCCCAGCGTCCTCCCCTGGGTGGGCACTCAAGAATTAAAAGCACACAAGCATTCCAAGCCAGAACCACAAAGCGTATCAGGGCACCATAAAAAACAAACTAGTTTTATTTGGCACAAGTCCTAACGTGTACTGCAGCTCACTTCCTCAGATGCCATTCTGAGCCGGGTTAGTCTAAATGTTAAGCCAGAAGAAGCGGAAATTCACAACCTGTGCAAAATTATGGAGATCAAGTCACATATGCACAATATATTTCGCCTTTGCAGTCACATGGAGCAGGGACTGGAGAATGCACCAACATTACTCTATCCCCAGTATGCTGATGACGCCCAACTCTCTTTTCTCTCCTTTCCACCTAATTTCACGGAAATGGTCTTGACTCTAGACCAGTGCTTGGCCTCAGTCATGGGCTGGATGAGGGCAAACCAACTGAAACTTGATCCAGAAGAGGCAGAGGTGCTCCTAGTCCGTTGGTCGGAAGGCAGATGAGGGAATACGAGGGAAACTACCTGCGCTGGAACAGGGTGACGTTCCCCCTGAAAACTCAGGTCTGCAGCTTGGGGGTTACTCCTGGATGCATCCCTAAGCTTGGATGCCCAAGTCTCAGCGGTGGACAGGAATGAATTTGCAGAGCTAAAGCAGATGCACCTGTTCCTTGAGATGTCGGATGTGGCTACAGTGACACATGCCTTAGCTGCATCTCGTTTGGATGACTGCAACTCGCTCTATACTGGATTACTGTCATGTGCTGTGTGTGGGGTGGCCTTTGAAGATGGTTCGGAAACTTCAGCGGGTGCAAAACTCTGCAGCCAGACGACGGACTGGAGCCAGCGACAGGGAGCCTATGATGCATTTGTTACAAAAACCACACTGGCTACCCGTCCGTTTCCGGCCCCAATTCAAAGTACTGGTCATTACTTATAAAGCCCTCTACGGCTTGGTTCCAGGCTGCCTGAAGGACTGTATCTCCCTGTAGGCACCTTCTCGGCCATTAAAGATCAGCATAGGAGCCCATCCTCTTGGTCCCATGGCCAGGGCACACATGGCTGATGGGGACACGGGGGGGGGGGGTGGATAGAGGGAGGGACC